ACGAAGGTCCCCTGCACTGGGGCTGAGCCCCCCTGCACCCACCCGCCCACTGCTCCGGCGACACAACAGCCAGGACCCAAGCCCCCAAGGCCCGGCCAGCACCCCAGACCGGGGGGCGGAGCACCCCCAGACCCCCAAGCCTCCACGCCCTTCCCGGACCCTCCCAGGGGCAGCCAGGCTACCAGGCCAGTAACCAACGTCCGCCAGCACAGACCCTCCCCCATCTCCGCTGTACGCAGCCACAAGGAAAACACCATCCAAGAGCCCCAGAGCTCCTAACCAGGTCATGGCCACATCCCCCAGGTTAGTCCCTCTAGGGAAACGTCCCTAGGGACTCCCCAGACGCCCTAAGGCCGTCCCTACCCCCATATCAACCACAATAGCGAAGGCAGGACCAAACCATGACCCCCCACCCCCACTAGGTGATGAAGCCGATCAAAGGAGCCCAAAGGGATTGATCAAATGTGATGGCAGATGTTGTATCAAGACTAATGTGATCTATTAGATGGTTTCTATATTGGTTAGAATTAAGATTATTTTTATTTTTCCAGTTAATGAGGACCATTTTCTTGGCAATGCATAGGGCCGTAAAAACAACGTGGGCTGTGTTTATTTCTGCAGTGACCTCATCCAAGTTGCCCAGCAAGCATACTAAAGGGGAGGCTGGAATGTTACATTTCAGACACTTTGATAAGTCTTCACATATCTCACGCCAAAACTTCTGAACTGGTGGACAGAACCAAAGAGCGTGGATGTAATTGTCCGGTGTATTTGCTGTGCAGTGTGAGCAGTTGTTGGAAGGCGTATAGCCCATCTTGAACATCCTATGACCAGTATAGTGCACTCTGTGTAATATTTTGTATTGTATTAATTGCAAACTGGGATTTCTGATCCATTGAAAGGTTTTTAAGCATATCTGAGACCAAAGGATTGGGTCTAAGTTGATTGATAAATCTGCTTCCCATTTTGCAATAGGAAGGGATATTGATTCATCTATTTTAGAAAGTGTTCTGTATATTTTAGACAATAATTTGGGGGGTTTTAGACTAAAAAATTGTACCACACTTGGTGGTGTTTGTAATTCAGCTTCACTGGGATTAAATTTCTTTTTTACTATGGATTTAATTTGTTGATATTCCAAAAATCGTTTCTTGTTGATCCCATATTGTGTAACTAGTCTGTCAAACGAAATAAAGTCTGTTCCTTCCCACATATGTTCCAAGTATTTAATTCCTTTGCAACTCCAATCTGGAAAGTTTATCATATTATTGTTTTGTAATATGTCCGGATTGTTCCAGATAGGTGTACGTTTGCATGGGATTAATGAAGACTCTGTCATTTTTAGAAACTCCCACCATGCTGTCAGAGAAGAGCTAATATTGATGCTTTTAAAGCATTCATGTCGTTTGATGTTTGAGCTGATAAATGGTAGGTCTGAAATTTCTAGGTTATTACATAGTGCCTGTTCTACATCTATCCAAGGTTCATCTAAGAGGGTGTGTTTAAACCATCTAGAGATGAACTGAAGCCTGTTGGCTAAAGAAATAGTGATTAAAGTTAGGCAGATCTAATCCTCCTTTATCCTTGGTCCTTCTGTTTTTATTTTTAAAATCTCCTTCATGTTGTCCTGTGTTTTATGCTCTGTTACTTTGACACAAAGGCATCTGCTGTGATGCTTACACCCCTGATAAAGTCTCACAAGTGTCAGCTTTCTTTTTATTGATATACAAATATGGATATGTATTGATAAATGATCAGAATTATAATATTATTGACTGTCTGAGGAAAATTTCCCCGATTCAAATAGAACCGATCGAATCATGGATCGAATCGGGACCTTGTGAATTGGAATGGAATCAAATCAGTGACGATACCCAACCCTCCATATTCGTCTTTCACTTCTGTCACCTGTGTTTGTCCTTACCTTTAACCTAAAAATATCCTATCTTCTTTCTTCTAACTCTTCATCACTTTACACACATCGCCCTTTTGGTTCAGTGCTAAAGTACAAGTGAAAAGGGAACCTCTTACCATATCCTCAGTGGACCTTTATCCTTCTTGTCCTTTTCTGTCTACATCACATCTCAAATATTTCCCACTCCCACCCTCCCTGCAGACACTCTCTCTCTCTCACACACACACCTACACTCACACACATGCGCATTTTTTTAAGTCTCCATCTCTGCTGTCTTACTTCCCCAAAGTCAAATTTTGTTTTTCACACTTCAAGGCCAGTTGTTCCTCCAGAAATAATTCTACTCCAGCACAGTTTGTTTCCCATTAACAGCACAGCCTCTGCTTTGCTAGTGATCCCCAATGTCTTCTGTAACCTTCATAACTGAAAGGGGAAAACCTTGCAGAAATGTCTGATTTATAAAGAAAACAGCCTGAATTTATTGAAGTTTTAATGATGATGATAATGCACTTTGATTTTTGGAAGCCTTAAACTCCATATCACTATGTACCCTTTAAACTCGGTCAAAAATAGAAAAAGTTAAAAGGTCAACAATGGTCAAAGGAGAATAATTCAAAACAGGAAAATCAGTTTCCCCACGTAGTACCCTGCTTTTCTATTTCTTTCCACCTCCACCCATCACCTACAATGTCTTTCCCTCCCTTACTCCTTCAAAGCTCAAGGTCGAGAATTACTCAAAGATACTGTTGGGTTTTAACAGTTAGCCTCCCTTCAGTGTATTTGCATTCAACTGAAATTTGAATCGGTGCCCATGTGGGTGTTAAAAGGAATAGGAGCAGATATAAGTAATGTGCTCCCACACAGTAAGAAAACTTTAAGTGGTGAAGAAATTCATGGTGCCAAAGCAATTCCAATAGTCATATATCAAAGGTGGTCTGCTGACTTTAATTGGAGAACAATTCTTTTCAGAGAAGATAGAATATGACTAGCAATTGCATAGAATTGCGTGGTTCACACAGGCAGACTACTATCCTTTTGATATGTTTAAGCCCCTGGTTTATTTGAAGACAGAAAAAAGTCAGATCTCTGAAGGTTATTTGTCTATGTTTGTCAATGTTTGAAATATCAGAATCAGAATACTTTAGTAATCCCGAAGGAAAAGATTAATAAAGTATGAATGCAGAGTAAGTTTTACTTATTTTTCTGAAGTCTAACAATCTGAACTCGTGGTACATCAGGCATAATATTAGGACCACTGACAGATAAAGTGAATAACAATGATTATCTCTTCATCATGGCACCTGGGAAGCATGTGAATATTTTGTTCTCAAAATTAATGTTAGAAGGAGGAAAAATGAGCAAGCGAAAGGACTTGAGAGAGAGTTTGACAAGGAACAAATTGTGATGACAAAGGTCAAAAAAGAAATGTTCGTGTAGGATACTACAACATTACAGTGAACAAAAGTTGAAGGAAAAAGACAAGGCAACTGGAAGAAAACAACTAGAGAATAGAATAGAAAGTCCATTAATTACATTGTACATGTACTGTAGGAGCCATTCTTGGGTTAATACCTTATGTGGTCGCTAGAGGTCACCTTTTTCTGTTTTGATCATGTAAAGGTATTTAAGGTAGACGCACGTAATCGGGGTCAGGTGTGTCATTGATTGTAAGAAGGCAAACAGTTTGTGACCGCTGCGCTGTTATGTTAAGATGATATGGGAATAAAGACCAAAAAGGACAAGATAAGTACTGCTGGAGTTATTGGACATTTTACTTAATTCATACATACCAGTGACATCGCATCACCCCCGTTAACGACCACCTCAGTGGCTTCAAGCGTAGGCTTAGCCTCTACATTAGAGTCACAAACTGCTTTTCTTGGGGGAAAAGTTTGTGCCAACTTCGCCGCGGTGTTTTGGAGACTCGGCGCAAACAGGACAATTAAAGTCTGAGTGATCGATCGCCGCGGAGAGCTGAATGCCGTTTGGAAAAGTTACCGTGGAGGGTTCACGAGGAGCGGACAGCTGGACTAGCGGTCTGTCAGCTGACGACGTGGAATGCTTGGCGATTGTTCCGTGGATGTTGGAGAGGACTCAGAATTCTTCATCGGAATCAGTACGGCGCCCAACGCAAGGTATGAGTAGCGCTACTAATAAATGGCCATTTATAAAAGTGTGCACACTTATTTAAGAAGACGTAATTCCAATGCATTGGTGGTAACCAAATAAAATCTGATTTATAAACATAAACCCTCAATACTTGATAAATATTTGAGTTTTGGAACATTTGAACTATGGACACAAATAAAGCTGCTGAGAGGCCCCCGGAGCCTGCTGCAGAATCAGCTGTGCAAAGTAGCAACGCCAGCAAGGCTGGGACACATCCAGAAAAGGAAAAACGAGTGGTGAAATTGACTGCTAAGGCACTTGCAGAGAGACTAGACAGACTGCAACGTGATAGAAAAGCTAAATTAAATAAAGCTAATAATTTAAAAGAGAGTATAAGGGTCTCAATGAGAAAAAAAAACGAAAAATCATTACACAAACAGCTCTTACAAGGTCCTAATCTCACAAGTACATTGCTTGGGGTTTTGCTTAGATTTCGACAGGATCCAGTCGCATTTATGGGTGACATAAAGGCAATGTTTTATCAAGTTAAAGTTGCCAAAGAGGACAGAGACTTTCTGCGTTTTTTATGGTGGCCAGATGGAGATCTGAGCAAGGACATAATTGAGTTTCGCATGACTGTTCATCTGTTCGGTGCAGTATCTTCCCCGAGCTGCGCCAGTTTCGCTTTGAGAAAAACAGCTGAGGACAATAAGACGGAATTCCTAGACAAGGTATGTGAAACGCTGAAGGAGAACTTCTATGTGGACGACTGTTTAAAGAGTGTGGCCTCCACCTCAGATGCTGTCGATTTGGTCAAAGATCTTTCAGCACTCTGTCAAAGGGGAGGATTTACACTGACCAAGTGGGTCAGTAACAATCGCACCCTGTTGCAAAGTATCTCTGAGGAGCAAAGGGCTAAAGACTTGAAAGAATTAAATCTTGACAGAGACAAACTTCCGGTAGAAAGAGCCCTGGGCTTGCAGTGGTGTGTGGAAACTGATACATTCAACTTCAAAATGGATATCCCTCAAAAATCCTGTACTAGGCGTGTGATGTAGCATAACTTAAGCAGCAAGGAAGGTGATAAGTAAATAGCATTAGCAGACAATTGAAGTTCTTTTTAAGCATACTTTATTGCTAGCATCTCCCTTTTACCATAAAACAATCAATCAGGCATGCAAAAATCCCACTGGCTTTATACAAGACTTTGCCCACACCTGACCTCGTTAGTCCCTACCATTGAACAAAATAGGTCAAACCAAATAATACAATTCTAAACAAAGAACAGGAATAAAGTCATGCATGAAACTGACAAACTCATTTACTCAACTAAATAGTTTGTAAAGTAAAACACTGCATACAATATAACTCAAAAGGCTACTTTAAAGAAAACAAACAATACTATACAAAATGAAAAACCCTCCATTTGGTTACACCCAGTGATGCAATCATTGACCTCATGACCCTATATAAACAGGAAGTAGTGGGCGGCCCTTCCCATACACCTGTCTCACATATAGGACCTGAATGCACAACATGGACACCATGGTAAGTATAACCAAAGCAACATAAAGAAACATAATTTACCAGACATGTGCCTGTAAACAGAAGAGAATTCAGATGATCTGATGGTTAGTAGTGTTTGCTTTAAAACACATGCATGGATGTAAAGAATGTAACTACTGCTACCACAAACAAAACCCGGGATATTGTGTGTTAAGAGAAGTTACACCAGCAATGTCTAAATTAAAGCATTATGGCTGACTGTAAAATAACAGAACACAAAATAACAATATATGCAAGTGACAAATGGCAAATTAATTCCGTTCTAGCCACTTTGTCACAAAGCGTGGAATGTTATCAATATCAAGTTCTATTTATGATCCATTGGAATTTCTTGCACCAGTCCTGCTGGCCGCCAAAAGAATGCAGCAGGAGCTTTGCAAAAGGAAACTGGGATGGGATGAACCAATACCCCAAACCATGTTGCAAAAGTGGAAAAGTTGGCTCAGTGATTTGCAAATGCTTTCCCATTTCAAGGTTAAAAGGTGTATACAACCAAGAGAGTTCGGACCTCTCTCACATGCACAACTACACTATTTTTCAGATGCCGGTGAATCTGGATATGGAACTGTGTCATATCTGCGCATGCAAGACAATAGGAAATCCATCCATGCAGCATTCTTGATGGGCAAGGCAAGGGTAACACCTCTAAAACCTGTCACTATTCCACGTCTGGAACTAACAGCTGCTGTAGTTGCCGTCCGAGTGGATCTCATGTTAAGGGCTCAGTTGAGAATGAAACTCGAGCAATCTGTATTTTGGACAGATAGTTCATCTGTACTCAAATCTTTACCTTTGTGGCAAACAGAGTCTCATTCATTGCAACTGCAACTAAACAATCACAAGGGAGATATGTAAGCTCAAAGGAAAATCCAGCAGATGATGCTACAAGAGGGCTCAAGGCTGGGAATATTGTTCATAGCAGCCGCTGGATCGAAGGACCAAGCTTTCTGCAGAAGCCAGAATGTGATTGGCCAACCAATCTAATGGAATGTTCCTTAGAACCAGAGGACCCTGAAGTCAAAGCTGAGGACGCAGTGAATGTTACTCGAGTAAAAGACTTGCTTGATGCTACATGTCAATTGATGGTGTACTTCTCAGACTGGAGAAGGCTCAAGGTTGCTGTTGCTTGGCTCCTCAGACTGAAGGCAATCCTTCGTTCAATGAGAGATAAGAAAAGAAGACCGCAACCTAACTCAGATAACCCAATTTGTAAAGGTACTACAAAGGAGAAAGTAAAGAAAACGCAACTGTATAGACTATCTTCAAATGATCTTTTGGAAGCTGAGCTTGCCATTATTAGATTTTGCCGGCAGCAAAGATTTGGAGAGGAGATTGCTACGTTGTCAAGTGGGAAAGGTTCTGTGAGCAGGCACTGCTCAATTTATAGATTAGATCCTTATCTTGATGATTAAGGCCTCTTAAGAGTTGGGGGACGACTGACAAAGGACTCCTTACCAGAAGAAATGAAGCATCCCTTTGTTCTTGATCAACATGTAGCAAGTCTCATCCTAAAGCACATTCATCAACAGCTTGGTCATAGCGGTCGTAACCACAACTTATCCACACTAAGGAGAAAATACTGGATCACAAAGGCCAACTTAGCTGTAAGGAAGGTTATCGCAGAATGTAATTTTTACAGAAAATATCATGGAAAAGCCTTGGAGCAAAAGATGGCAGATTTACCCAAAGAAAGAACCCACCATTCACCAACGTCGGAGTTGATTACTTTGGACCTATTGAAGTGAAAAGAGGACGAGGTACAGCTAAACGTTATGGAGTTATTTTAGCCAGTTTAGCCAGCCGAGCAGTGCACTTGGAAGTGGCTAGCTCTCTAAGCACAGATGCCTGCATTAATGCTTTGCGCCGTTTTGTGAGTCGAAGAGGGCAAGTCGCTCACATCCAATCGGACAATGGAACCAACTTTGTTGGAGCAGACAGAGAGTTAAGGGAGGCTCTTGAATCATACCCAAATAGCGGATGCTTTGCGACACATTGGAATAAAATGGAGTTTTAATCTGCCTGGAGCATCACATCATAGTGGAATTTGGGAACGGATAATTCGTATGATCAGAAAGATTCTGAGATCCGTTCTTCAGCAACAACAGTTGGACGACGATGAATTAAATACGGTTCTATGTGAAATTGATGCAATTTTAAATGACAGACCCATCACAAAGCTTTCTGATGATCCAAAAGACCTAGAGCCACTTACACCAAATCACATCCTCCTGATGAAAGGAAAACCATCTTTACCACCTGGACTATTTGACCCTCAGGATATGTATCTGAAGAGAAGATGGAAACAGGCTCAGTACATCTCAGATCTTTTTTGGAAACAATGGATACGCGAATACCTGCCTTTGTTACAGGAGAGACAAAAATGGAACCAAAAGGAGAAGAATCTAAAACCTGGAGATATAGTCATTATAATGGATTCTTCTGCACCACATGGTTCCTGGCCACTTGGAAGAGTTCTGGAAACCATTCGTGACAAAAAAGGACTTGTGCGATATGCACATTTAAAAACAAAGGCTAATATTCTGGAAAGACCTGTAACTAAACTTTGCTTGTTACATGAGACTGTAATCTAAAAGTGTGTTTAAGTGCTATATTACTTAAGTTTATTTATATGAATGTATATGTTTAAAGTAGACTGTATTAGTGGCTTCTTATTTTCTTTGTGATTAGAATTGCCATGTCTGATAGCCATTGCAATTAGGGGCCGGGATGTAGGAGCCATTCTTGGGTTAATACCTTATGTGGTCGCTAGAGGTCACCTTTTTTCTGTTTTGATCATGTAAAGGTATTTAAGGTAGATGCACGTAATCTGGGTCAGGTGTGTCATTAATTGTAAGAGGGCAAACAGTTTTTGACCGCTGTGCTGTTATGTTAAGATGATATGGGAATAAAGACCAAAAAGGACAAGATAAGTACTGCTGGAGTTATTGGACTTTTTACTTAATTCATACATACCAGTGACATCGCGTCAGCCCTGTTGTGTACAATGATGTTGGTTGAGTTGATAGAAACATTACATTTGAAAATTGTAGGGAGAGAACTGTGACGAGCACCGTTCCTTCCGCTCGAACCCCAGTCGCTCTCGTCTGCCCCCTCATAACACTGCTCTTTATTGCAGTTACATGACTATGCATAAGTTCATTAACATATGACGTCTTACACAGGCATACATGTGAACAAAGAGTTCCTTGTCTGCGTGTACGTATAGATATGTGTGTGTGTGTGTGGGGGGGTGGGGGCAAGATGTGACCCTGTGAAGACTCCCCAAATGTTGGTGCCAGGAGTGCAGCGGCCTCCACCTAAACAAAGGGCTCTTATACTTAAACAGATACAGAGTAGGTGTCCTCCTATACCATAAATCAGTAAGAGAAGGTACGACCTCATGACCTTAAGATATGTGTGTATGCCAGAGTGCTCTGGGAGGCACACAGAGTCTTTGCAGACTGCTAAGGATCAGACCTCTATCATTATGCAATCGATTATGAAAATCTAAGCATATTTCTAAGCATAAATGACAATCCAACAATATATAAAATTTGTTCACCTATGCTGAAGATCACCAGTACATGAAACAATCTCAATTTGAAATGCATCACAGAATAGCAGACTTACTTTCTCTATTGAAACAAGCAGCTTGATTGGTTAAGAAAAGGCAGTTTGAGTTTTGAGAGGCCGTTGTGTCATGCTGCTATGTTTTCACTGTAAACAGCAGCTACATTGGTGATCTCTGGCATTGTTTTCAAAGTATCTTTTTGATTTTTAATGTCACAGAGTGCTCTGGGACCAGCACATTTTTCCCACAGGAGACAACTGTATTAACATAAACAATTAATGTAATAAAAGCTGTACAGTTCAGATGTAAACATGGTATACCATACATCTGTACCTGTTGATTTGAACAGTCTCCAGACTTTGCTCACTTCTGCAGACAGAAAAATCTTGTTGACAAGAGGTCAGAAGAAAACAAAGCTAAACCACAAATGATCCTGCAGTCTAACAATGTTTGTTGTAATGCATTACAAATTAAAACACAATGCATTTTTTCAGTTGTGCAGTAATGTAACGTGCTACTGTACTAAATTCAGCAATTACATTACAGTTACAGTTATGCATAACAGTTATTTGGATTACAAATGCTTTTTGTTTTTTAAGGGGGATCGTGGCTCAAGAGTTGGGAGTTCGTCTTTGTAATCTGAAGGTTGCCGGTTCGAGCCCCGGCTTGGACAGTCTCGGTCGTTGTGTCCTTGGGCAAGACACTTCACCCGTTGCCTACTGGTGGTGGTCAGAGGGCCCAGTGGCGCCAGTGTCCGGCAGCCTCACCTCTGTCAGTGCGCCCCAGGGTGGCTGTGGCTACAATGTAGTTACCATCATCCGTGTGTGAATGTGTGTGTGTGAATGGGTGGATGACTGGATATGTAAAGCGCTTTGGGGTCCTTAGGGACTAGTAAAGCGCTATATAAATACAGGCCATTTGTTATTTGCATGCCAGAGGGATAGGAAAAAAAAAAAAATCAAATAAACATTCTTTTTTTTTCTTTCTTTGCACTTCAGCTACAGTCAGATGATTTCAGTTTGTGTATGAAAGAGAAAACATGCAGTCTACAATTTTTTAGGAGCAGAGATATGTAAAAGAGCCAAATAGTAAAGTGCAATATGTATTCAAGACAGAAACAACTTCATTAAGCTGCTAACAGAACTTCAGCTTTTTTCAAGCATCTGCACAGACAGCATGGTAACACAAACTTAGCCACAAATGCAGAGTGATGATAAAGCTGAGTGAATGCATCCCACAGCCCAGAAGCTAGACTCTGAACAGGTAGAAACAGAGGCTTCAAACCTGCTCACTGCTCATCACTGCCTTTGTTACCTGTTGACAGTCAGTCACTGTGGTAATCGCTTTGAAAGTTCTTTGAACTGTTTTTCATCTTTCCTTTGTGTTATCAGCCTTATGTTCATATATAAATACCAAAAAATAAAAAAGAATCATATCATATCTGTGTCCTCATTAAAATAGCCATTTGCGTTTGTGTGTGGGACTGTAGCCTGTAAATGGTAACTGGTAACAATGCATAACGATGCATTTCAGATCATTTTACAGAGTAAAGAGAAACTGATGTAATGAGTAGTGTAACAAATTACTTTGTCCAGCAAGTAATTAAAC